GCGCCCCGACTGTACCAATGGCCCCGCCTCGATGGGAGTTCCGCCGGCCTCCAGACCCCGGATGCCTTCTCTGAGGGCCCAGGGGTTGTCGCGGCTCGCGCGCACGGGCTCCTCGACCTGGCAGGCGCGGGCCACGGGGCGCTCGGCGGCGCGGGGTGGGCGGGCGGCGGCGGGCCCCCGCGTCGGCGGCCAGGGCTCGGCCCGCAGAAGGCATTCCTGTGCACGCACGGGCCCCTCTTGGCCCTCGAGGAGTTTTTTTGTTATGCCCCCACCGGAAGGAGGAGGAGAAGGAGGAGGAGGAGGAGGAGGGAACAGAAGAGTAGGAGGAGGAGGAGGAGGAGGAGAAGAAGGAGGAGGAGGAGGAGGAGGAGGAGAAGGAGGAGGAGGAGGAGGGGAAGGAGGAGGAGACGGGAGGAAGCCGCAGTGTGATGCGCGAAGCGGGGGCCCGAGAGTGTGGGCACCGGGGCTCGAAGGCAGCGCCGCGGGGCGGCACGCCGGCGCCCGCGGCGCCCTCGCCCCGCGCAGGGGCGCCGTGGTGGCGGCCAAGAGGCGGGAAGGCGAAGCTCCGGATCCACCCGGCCGACCTGGCGGGGGCGGCGAGGGCATCGACCCTCAGGACCGCCTGGAGGAGGGGGGGTCTGTGGAGAAGGAGAAGGAGGAGGAGGAGGAGGAGGAGGAGGAGGAGGAGGAGGAGGAGGAGGAGGGGGAGGGGATGCTGCGCAGGGAGGGCCCTGGGCAGGCCCCCTCCCCGTGGGCTGGCTTGCCGAGGCACGCCGTGCCGGCCCCCCCACGCCCCGCCTCCACCACCACCGGGCGCCCCGACCAGGGCGGGCCCCCCCACGTGGTGGAGGCGGGGCGTGGGGTGCGGCGTGCCCCTCTACGGGAGGAGGATTCAAGGATAGTCCAGACACGGCCTGGGGACGAGCTTCGCTGCTCTTTTTTGCTAACTTTCGAGTATGTGTTTGTTCGTATTAGGTTTTCCCTCTAAAATGTGGAAGGACATGCCCGAGCTAAGGCCAATGCTGCGGGTCTGCATGGTGGGGCAGAGCATCTGAGCAGAGACGGCACATTCTTGCGAGCCCTGGGCCTTGCCGACTACATCAGGGGAAGTAGAGTATTTTGCGGGATTGCGAGTCGGCTTGGCGATGTTCCGGACTTGTGCGACCGTGGGGCGGGATTTGACAGGGGGCGAGGTTTGATCCCATCATACTGATTTGGACGGACTGGGCTTATCATGAATTATCCACATCATATCGATAACACCAGGAAGCTGGGAAATCCGGTCCTGCCCCAGCAGCGCGTTTTTGCGATGAGCCTGCGGGGGGATAGGTGAACTCATCATCACCATGATGATCATGATGATCATGATAATCATCATGGCTGTAATCAGCATGATCATGACCATCGTGCCCATCGTGATGATCCTCAAAATCATCATCGTGGTTGTCACCATCAAATTGACGGCCGCCAATACCGTGGCCTTGGGCGCGATAAAGATGGCCATGGCGGACACCGACAAATCAACCATGATGACCCGATGTTAGCCAGAGTACCAGCAGGAGGAGGAGGAGGGAGCTAAGATGACTGTGGAGGAGGATGGGAAAGGAAGGACGAGGAGGGGCAAAGGAGCAGGAATGAGGATGATGAGGGGAATCAAGTATGTTGGCGATGGGTGCGAGGGGCTGGATAGTGACGAGGAGAGGAAGGACGGTTGTGCCATTGATGAAGGATGCACGGGTCGCCTATGAGTACGTAGGCTCTTGGCGATATACATGTGACGGGTTGTTGCCGGTGCTTCGGCCGCGAGTAGCCAAGCATGGAACCACGAGCAGGCTGCGCGTTGGCTGCATGCGTGCCACGAAAAGATAGAGGGGACGCTGTAAGACTAAGCACCATGGGTGAGGAATACGTGAGTTGTTTGCACATATATATATATATACATATATATATCGGAGGTGAGGGGGTGAGATCGAAGTGGAACGGAGAGCCCCCCTACCGGGAAATCGATTTCGGCTTCGTGTTCGTGCGTGCCGTGCGTGCGGGCGAGGCGAAGCTGCGTGGGCGGGCGAGAGGAAAGTCTCCTGTGGCTGAGGCGCGGCCGGACCAAATGATTCTCCACCGGGCGGCCGGTGGCGCGCGGTGTCCCGCCGGTGTCCCGGTGGTGTCCTCTGTGGCTGAGGCGCGGCCGGACCAAATGATTCTCCACCGGGCGGCCGGTGGCGCGCGGTGTCCTGCCGGTGTCCCGCCGGTGTCCCGTCGGTGTCCCGTCGGTGTCCCGATCATGATGTTGATGATGATGATGATGATTATGATGATGATGGTGATGATGATGATGGTAATGATGATGATGATGTTGATGATGGCGATGATGATGATGATGCTGATGATGTTGATGTTGATGATGATGATGATGATGACGTCGATGGCGAGATCGATTGTGATCGGTAGTGAGACCGAATGTGAGACCGAATGTGAGATCGATTGTGAGATCGATTGTGAGATCGATAGTGAAATCGATAGTGAGACCGAATGTGAGATTGATTGTGAGATCGATTGCGAGATCGATAGTGAGATCGATAGTGAGACCGAATCTGAGATCGATAGTGAGATCGATAGTGAGATCGATAGTCAGATCGATTGTGAGATCGATCGAATGATATCGATAGTGATATCGATAGTGAGACCGAATGTGGGATCGATAGTGAGATCGATGGTGAGACCGATTGTGAGATCGATTGTGAGATCGATTGTGAGATCGATAGTGAGACTGAATGTGAGATCGATTGTGATATCGACAGTGAAATCGATAGTGAGACCAAATGGGAGATCGATAGTGAGATCGATAGTGGGATCGAATGTGAGATCGATTGTGAGATCGATTGTGATATCGATAGTGAGATCGATAGTGAGACCGAATGTGAGATCGATTGTGAGATCGATAGTGAGATCGATAGTGAGACCGAATGTGAGATCGATTGTGATATCGATAGTGATATCGAGAGTGAGATCGATCGAGTGCGACGTTGGCCCCTCCCCCCCCCTCACCTCCTTATCACCCGAAGCGTGGTCGTATAGGTATATATTTGTATAGATACACGTTGGCCGCCGGTTTAGCGGCACGCATTTACGTAGGGGATGTGTGTGGTTATCGCGCGGACCGCAGGACCCAGCCACCCATCCGTCGTCGACGCGGGATTGAGATGAGGAGAATCAGGAGGAGGAGGAGGAGGAGGAGGAGGAGGAGGAGGAGGAGGAGTAGGAGGAGCAGGAAGAGGAAGAGGGGGGGAGGGGGAGGCGGAGGAGGAGAAAGCGAACGAGGGTAAGGGTAAATCAACTCAGCGCACATCATCAATGCTGCCATGCACCTTCCCATCTTAAGTGACCTCCTCACGCGCCACCAGAAAAAACCCAGCTGCTTGCGGGAAACTCCGCCACCGCGCCAGCGCAGCAGTGCCCCTGGGAGGATTCTGAGTTTAAGACCCGATCCGTCTCAGCACGCTGTCTGAGCGTGCGCGGGTCTTGGCCCCCCCCTCCTCCTCCTCCTCCTCCTCCTCCTCCTCCTCCTCCTCCTCCGCAGCAGCAGCAGCAGCAGCAGCAGCATCATCATCATCATCATCATCATCATCATCATCATCATCATCATCATCATCATCATCATCATCATCATCATCATCATCATCATCCCGCTCTTCCTCCTCCTCTCCTCCTCCTCCTCCTCCTTCTCCTTCTCCTCGTCCTTCTCCCCCTACCCTCCTTCTCCTCTTCTTCCTACCCAATTTCCCTTGTCCACAGCATCGCTAGGAGGTCCCTCGGGGGCATCTTAGGGCCTTGGGGGCCCGTTGGGGGTCTCGGAGTTGTTCTGGGCACGATGGTTCCACCGACCGCTCCCGAAAAGGCACGGTTGGGCTATCGTGGAGACGTCTGGACTGGTCTCGGAAGCGTTTGGGAGCTGCTCGAATCGGGCCGTTGCGGAACCGCTGTCCGACACCATCAGGGCTGTAAGTGTTTTCGATGTGGTTTGCCTCACAGGGTCTCGCGGGATGACTCATTGGACACTCATTAGGAAGGTTGTGTGTGTGCGTGTGTGTGTGTATGTTTATGTGTATGTGTATGTGTATGTGTATGTGTATGTGTATGTGTATGTGTATGTGTATGTGTATGTATATGTGTATGTGTATGTGTATGTGTATGTGTATGTGTATGTGTATGTGTGTGTGTGTGTGTGCGGGGGGGGGGGGGTACATCTAGGAACTATTCAAATCGAAATATTGCGGGAGAGTCGTTAGGCCATCATGGGTTGGTTTTGGGACATCGTGCGGCCGTTTTCAAGGCGGCCCCTGGCAATCTTGGAGCCGAAAGGGATTGAGAGGAGCGCGGGAAGTAAAACTAGGGGACGGTATTCAGACGGTGGTCGCGTCACAAATGTGGAACCGTTAGCACCGTTGCACGAGTGCATCTCGCGTAGCGATAGCTGAACAGCTCGGCTGCTCCGCTGAGCTACGCGATACACAGGCTCCCTCACGGTCACTTACTGTACGTGATAGATGCGGGGTGTAAGAAAGGACCTCGGCTTCGAGGATCGAAGGAGCTGATATCTCTTCCTCGGCCGGAGGTGTTGGAAGGCTGGCGGAAGCTGGCGGAAGTAGAATTATAAGATGCCCCTCTAAGAGACGAACAAATTGGGGGTTCAGGGTTTCCAGCACCCGCCATATGAGTTGGTTCGTGTTGTTTCATTTCCGTCGACCTGTGGAAAGTTTAAGACGCGCTGCCAGACACCGTGCGGGGTTAGGATCTGGCTAAATCGTTCCATAGCGTCCCGCGGCGCCCGATACATCCTCCAGGACCCTAGCTGCCTTGATACGCCTCTGTCGAAACGCAATACGTACCATGTTCAAAACGTCAGTTTTAATAACACGCTGCATGCTGACTCGGCACGTGTTGGCACGTGTTTTGGGTCACGGATCGCGTTTGACCTACGCTTTCAGCCTACGTTTGGACTTCTGTGCCAGCACACCACGTGTTCCGTGTGGCGTATCGGGGCAGCTAAGTCCAGAATCGCCGGATCGCTCAGATCCCCCATTTGTCTTGGTCCGATGTTGTTCCTGTGTTAGCCTCGTCTTCAGACTACCAGGAAGCGCCAGCCTGGCATTCCCTTATAGTCAACCCGCATAGTCAGGATGGGCAATTTCCCAAGGGTGCCCTCGCATCCTTGCCTCCTCGGTCCGTCCTTGGCCACTTTCCTTGGCCGCGCCCCGCTCGGAAAGCTTCGAAACGGCCCTCCGAGGCCCTTGGCATCCTCATCGTGCGTCCTGGTTCTACGGGTCGACTGGGAAGGCCCCCTCCTGGGGCTCGCCACGGCTTCTTCGCGGCCTGAGGTGGGCTGGGGAGACCCAGGGGGCCGGCACATGTCCAGGGATGCCCCACCAGTACTCTTGCGCCGACATGATGTTTTGGCATTTGTGTCGCCTACTGCACGGATGTCGTCTGGGTGTGCCTGTCGGTCTAGTTCGTCTCTGACGGTGCTGTTTGCCTGACTCACGCCGAGCGATCGACCTCTGCGTGTTTATGGTCGCGCCGCCGCGCCATTTTGGCTGCGCTTACTTGCTGGTTGCCACCGGGATTTCCAACGCCACCAGGTTTGGGAGTATCGGTTCTGGCTCTCCTGCTGAGTGGCTGCCCGCTCGCTCGCTTCGTTTGCCTTTCTTCTCCTGCTGCCTAGTCGCGGCCCAACTAGTGTTCGGACGGCTGTCGACCCGCCTCGCGAGCCTGTTGACCAAAAAGTACCCCCACCAGTTAGGCTCTCGCCCTGCACGTAGGCCTGGCTGCTTTTGACTGATGACGCCGCGCGGCTGTCCGCTAGCAGTCGGTAAAAAAGGAGCATCCCCACCAGCGCTTTCATGCTCTTCGGGCACGCTGTGTTCGCCACGCTCTTGTGCAAGGTCTTCGTGTTCGGCACACTCTTCTGCTGCTTACCGCCTGGTCGGTTTCGCGGCCCTTAGCGTGCCGTCGCTCACTGTTTCTCCTCTTCGCTACTGGCGCGGCCCGCCGTAGCAGGCTCGGCGTTCGACTCGTTTCGCGCGCTCGCGGATCAAAAAAGTATCCCCACCAGCCCATCCAGAAACGATGACGGGGCGAGTTGCCTTTCAGAGTCTCATCGGACGTTTCTTGGGAGTTGTTTTGGAGGTTTTTTGGAGTGTCTTGGGAGTTTCTTGGCGGTCCTGGAAGCCTCTTGGAGCGTTTTGGGTGCTTCGGGGGGCCTCCTGGGACCTCTTGGGCCCCCAGGGATGTTGGAGGAGCCCCCCTAGACCGCCTACGCCCAGATGGCTGGTGGGATTCCGAAGCAGCGGCAACGCGAATCGTGACGTCGCCATCGGAGGTGGGGAGAGGGGCGGGGGGGCGTGGGGCCAGTAACAGGCGTGATCGCGAATGGCCCAAGAATGGTATCGTGGTGGCACCTTCGGATGGTAATGATACAAGAACCAGAATGCTCCCCTCCCTGTTTCTTCATGGTGGAATTACCACGTCGGGCGCACCACCAGGGGCGCACTTGGACCCCTCCCCGGCGGGCGCTGCCGTTGGAAGCGTCCATACGACGATGATGGGAAGGACGACGGCGACGCCCGATGAATCCTGTCGAACGTCTCCACGTGTCTCCAGAGGCCTCCGCAGGCTCAGAATAGCTTAACAGTGCCCAAGACCTGTCTGACCCCTCGACCCCTCGAATCTCGATCCCGCGGACTTCGATCCATTGATCCTGCACCTCGATGTCATGGACCCAGGCCTCGACCCCAGCGGCGCCGACGACGCCGACGACGACGCCGACGACGACGAGGCCGAAGACGACGACGACGAAGACGACGACGCCGCCGCCGCCGCCGCCGCCGACGACGACGACGACGACGACGACGCCGCCGCCGCCGCCGACGACGACGACGACGACGGCGGCGCCGTCCCCCGACGGGCCGGGCGGCCGAGGGCCACGCGACCGGCGCCGAGGGCCCCGCGCAGAGGCGCCGGCGCGCACTTTCAGGGGCAGCGTTGGGGGGCACGAGGCTCGAGGCTCGCGGCTCGCGGCTCGCGGCTCGAGGCTCGAGGTTCGAGGTCCGAGGTGCGAGGTTCGAGGCTCGAGGTTCGAGGTCCGAGATTCTCGGGCGGTGTCGTCGGTTCTCGGCGGTTTCCCAGCCTCGGGGTGCGTTCCAGCAGATGCGCCTCGCCGAGATTGCTTCAGGATTGCCCGACACTTCCCAAAACAGCCGCTGGAGAGCCGAGCTATGACCCGAAAGCCAAGGGGCAGCGTAAGGTTCGTGCGGCTTCTCCCAGACGTCGCCGTAGACGGCGCCACGCGCGCGCGGGCGGAGGGGAGCTTGGGCGCTGGAGCCGAGCGGCGGGCGGAGTCGCCGGAGCAGGTGGCACCTCCCCGCGTGCTCTGGAGGCGTGCCTGCACGATGCCAGTGCACACAGCAAATAACTCAGCATGCGGGGTCCTGGGGTAGCGTAAGTTGATCCTCGCGCTCGCCGTGCGGCTGTTCGACCTGCCCGCCGCCGCCATCACCCTCCTCAGCTCGACGTTTCGCCGAGCAGGCTGGAGAGCGAGATCGAACGAGGGATGTTCACTGCCAACGAACGGCAGACACCCGACGACTCGATTGATTCGGGTCGCCAGTCCCGAAACTCACGGTCCATTCCACAGGATCGGCGAGTAAGCGTGATCCGTTCAAACATCATTCCTGATCCGTTGCCCTTGCTGCGCCCAGCCGCGGCAACGGGGGCCCACCCGAAGGCCAAAAATGCGGGCGAGGAGGGAGGAGGGAGGCAAGGACGACCCAGACCTGGAGCGCACGGCTGTCCATGATCATCCTGTGGTGCTGGGCTCTCGCTTTGAATCATCAGCGCCCCGCGCATCACATCTTCTCCAGCCTCCCGCCCTCCCTCCTTCCGTTGTCCCATACCCTCCTCGTCCGTCTCCCTTCTGTGCCTCCAGCTCTACGCGTGCCCGTGGCCCTCGCGGGGAAGTCCGCAGGTGCCCCCGCCCCTCACACGCCTCGTGGCCCCGCATGGGAGCCCCGCCAGAGGCCCCAGTGGGAAAGTCCACGTGCGTCGCCGCCGCCCACTTCGGCACACGACGACGGCGACGACGACGACGACGACGACGTGGCCCCAGTTCGGGAGCTCCATCGAAGGCCCCAGTGGCACAGGCGTGCGCGTCCCCGCCGGCCATCTCGGCACACCCCTCGCGCGCTGCCGTGGCCCCGGCTCGGGAGCTCCGCCGATGATCTGCACGAACGAAATGGGCACGGAAAGAATGGGTACAATGCCCAACAGCAGTTCCTTTTCATTTTGAACAGGATTCGCTGTCCACGCCGCCGCGGCCTGTGTCCATTCGAGACAGAGGGCCGCCTGCCCAACAGCGGCCGCTGTTGGTTTGGGACAACATTTGCTGTTGGGCATTGTACCCATTTTTTCGGTACCCATGTCGGGCGTCCAAAGATAACCCACACTGGCACAGAGCGCATGGCGTCCACCATGCGCGGTTCGACACGCTTGTCACGCGTTTCGCGTCACCAAGTGAGGCGCCACCGAAGGCCCCAGTGGGGCAGTGCGCGTGGCGTCACCCTCGCCCACGTCGGCACGCCCCTCGCACGCTTCGTGGGGCCATGGGTGGGGAGCTCCTCCGGAGACCCTGGTGGGAAGGTCGGCATGGCGTCCCCGCCGCCCATGTCGGCGCATCATTCGCACGTTTCGTGGCCCCATAAAGGGGGTCTCCGCCCCGCCAATCACGGCACACCATTCACATATGTCGCTGCCCCCATGAGAGTTCCACCGAAGGTGATGTTCACAATTGCGGTGTTCCCATTTGCATATGGTTGGGTCCATCGCCAGGATCATGTGAATTGGGTCCCTGAACCTGTCAGCCACTTCCCAAGGACGGGTTTTTCGTCGCCGATCGTTTGTGTTTACGGCCTTGGAGTCCTGAAAACGGCGACTGGAGGCCGCACATGCGAAGGGACTAAAAACTCAAATTGTTCAAGACAGTGGGGGCCTGGAGAGAAGGGGGGAGGCAATGGGAAGAAACGGAGAAGCATGATCGAGAAGGAGGAGGCGGAGGACTTAGGATGATTGAGGAGGGGGGAGAAGGAGAACGAGGTGGAGCATTCCTGATTCTGGGCATGGCCCGCCACCCACCCAGCGCGTCTTACGATGAAGATGTGGAGAGAGAGGGAGAGAGAAAAACACGAGAGAACGAGAGAGAGAGAGAGAGATAACGAGGGAGAGGCAGAGGGAGAGAACATGCGATATATATATATATATACAGAGAGAGAGAGAGAGAGACATCCAATACGCTGAAATTGGGACCACTTCGGGTTCAGGAGGGCCTCTTCTTTTCGGTCCGATACTGAGATCTTGGTCGGGGAACCTAGTTGAATCCGGGACTCGCCGTTGCCAGAGAAGCCCATTCGTTCGTTATTCAGCGCGCCTTAGCACGATGATTGCAATGCAGACATCATTTACCCCGATCAGGTAGGGACCAGAAGCAAATCATCCCGCAAGGCCATTCCTACAAAGTAGTAGTCACCAGTTGTGAGTGAGTATTGTCCTGAAGTGGCGCCCGTCCAGCAAAGAAAAACTGTGCGACACTCATGAGTGTCACAGCATGTGTTTTTGTTCCATCAACTTGCAGTGTTGTGGGATACGTTGACCGGCGAGGGGGATCCGCGCTGTGGACAGAAATGCCAGATGCTCCATTCGTCGCGAGACGTTGCGAGCCTCTTGTGACATGGGGCACGGTTGCTTTGAAAGCTCCCGTCGGTGGTCACTGCGGAAGCCAGCCACATGTGCACCTAGATTGGTTGGTTGCCGGGTCGTGCGCTTCACCGCGGGGAGTCCCCTCCGTAGGCCCACCAGGGTGCGTAACTGGAGGAAAAAGCCATGGATCTCGGGCCACCTTCGGGACCCGGCGCAGCGTGAACTCAGACAAGCAAGGCGTGATTACCTTGGCAAGGTATACGTACAAGGGGCGTTCCAAAAAGGGCTTATGGAGAGGTTGATCTTTTTTTATTCGGCGGAAAAGTAGCGGAAGCTGTGGGAATCAACGCGATGGCGGTTCCGCCCGTGGAATTTGTCGAAAGGAAAAGATGGCCCTCAAGAAATATCACATCTCGGGGGTCCTCTAGAGTTTCCGCAGTGGTAATGCTGCTGCTGCTGCTGTGATGATGGCGAGGAGAAGGAGAAGGAGGAGGACGAAGAAGAGGAGAGTCGTCACATGTGACACCATTCGTCTCCACTTGTCGAAGAGCTCTCATGGACCTCATTTGGACCGTCCTGAAGCGGACATGTGCTCCTGCGGACCAATCTTGCGGGCCGTCTTGGGGCCCTCCTAGGCAAGCCGTCTTGGGGCCCTCCGAGGCAAGCCGTCTTGGGGCTCTCTTTGGGCCGTTTGGGACTCCTGGCCGTATGGAGGGTGTCTTGGGGCCGTCATGGGGTCTTCTTGGCCATCTTGAGACTTTCGTGGGGGCCCCTTATCATGGCGCCAGCATCGCAGAGTGGATTTCGTTCGGACAAGGATAGGATGGGTCTAGATTGTCCTGGAGAATTTCGTTCCGGATTTCGAGGTAAATTTCATGCGGATTCGTTTGGCCAGGAATGAAGACCAAAAAACATCCACGCGAAATTTACTTCGTTATTCGCTCACCGCCTCGGGAAAACATCCACGCAGAAATCCACGCGAAAATCCGCTGACGCACGTCTGCAAGGACGGTGCAATGACCCTTGAGGCCACCTTGGCGGCGTCTTGGGCCAGCGTGAACTGACAGAAGCCCGAGAAGGCGAGACTTCGGAAATGCTTCAAAGCAGCATCGATTTTGGACTCTTCGGGCCAAGTGGGGGGTCCTCTTTTGGCCCTCTTGCAGGCATCCCAGGCCGTCTTGAGGCCATCTTGGGCCGCCTTGGGGACATCTTGGGCCGTCTTCGAGGCATCTTGGGCCAACTTGTCGACCCTGGTTGCCTGCCTGGTCCGTCCTAGAAGCTCGGGACGCGGACCAATCGTTGTTTTACGAGGGGTCGTGTGCCAGAGAGCCTCGGGAGAGGGGCGATGCATGCGGATAATGTTAGTAGAAGGGGTGGGGCCTTCTTAGAATACAACCTATCAGACAGCCATTGGCGTTCCTCCGCGCCTCAGCCTGCACAGGGCACGGTGACAGGTAGAGAAGAAAGAGGATCCAGGATCGAGGAGGAAGTTCGGGAGAAGGAGGAGGAAGAGGAGGAGGAGGAGGAGGAGCATCAAGGAGGAGGAGGAGGAGGAGGAGGAGGAAGGAGTAGGAGGAGGAGGAGGAGGAGGAGGATCGAGGTCCGGGGAGGAAGCCGCCCCCCTCCCCGGCCGAGGCCTCGGCCCGCCCCCTCGAGCGCCACCGCCGGGAGCCGGCGCGGTGGCACCGCTGCGGTCGGGGCAGGCGCGGCCCCGCTGGGCGCTGCGCCCGCCCACGTTGCGCTGCGTTTTTAAGGGGGGGGGGGGCTTCTCGCCATGCCTCCTCCTCCGCCTCCTCCCGCCTTCTCCGCCTCCTCCTCCGCCTCCGCCTCCTCCTCCTCCTCCTCCTCCTCCTCCTCCCTCTCCTCCTCTCTCCTCCTCCTCCCTCCTCCTCTCCCTCCTCCTCCTCCTCTCCTCCTCTCCTGCTCCTGCTCCTCCTCCTCCCTCCTCCTCCTCCTCCTCCTCCTCCTCCTCCTCCTCCTCCTCCAAGAACCGTTTGGCTCCGTCGCCCCTGGGGTGGGGCCGCGGGGTCGCGCCGAGCCTCCGCGAGGCGTTCTTGGGGCCGCGCGCCATAAGCTGTCTTGCGGCAGCTGGTGGCGGCGCGGAGCCGATTCGGCGCAATCTGTTTGGCAGTCGAGTTTCCGAGGTCTCTGGAGGCGTCTTGGGATCCATCGAGATGGGGCGCAGCGCCTCTCATCGGCCGCGGTACGTCGGACGCAAGCGGGCCTCGTTCGAACCGCCTTGGTCCCGATTTGCCGCCGCTGCGAGTGGGGCGATCTGTTGGAGGCTCAGAGTTGGCGATGCCCCTGCGGCGCCAAGGTGAGGCAGTTGCGTGCTCCCTCCCAGCCTCGACTTCGTGTTGGCGCCGGCGGTCGTGGATGCGGCGGGCTTGGCGGAGTTCCTGACGCTGGCGGGGCTGCTGCCGACCAGCTGCAGCGCCCAGGAGCCCCAGCGCGCGACAGCTCGGTGCCTCCCGAGCTGGCCGCGGCGCTGCGGGTCGTCGAGGCCCACGCCCAGGCTGCGGCAGCCAAGGCGAAGGCGAAGAGGCCGAGGCCGCCAAGCAGAAGGCTGCCGCTGCGGTGGCGGCGCTGGGTGCCCCAGCGCCTGCAGCTGGTGCAGCCGCTGGGGCGACGGCCACCGAAGAGTCGGCCGAGCTCTTCCAGCTGCGCTGGGACGACTCGATCTTCTCGGCGGACGTCATGGAGGAGCTCGACGAACAGGAGCGCGGCAGCCTGGCCAGCCTCCGCAAGGAGCTCCGGGCTGCGAAGGACCTCCTCCAGTCCCACTCGGGCGAGGTCTGCGAGAAGCTTGCTGCCGCGCGGCGTCTTGCCGCCACCAGCCGCCAGCGCTTGGCCAAGAAGAGCAAGAGCGGTAACGGCGACGCCCAGGACCCTGCGCAGGCGACGGCAGCACCAGCCGCGGCACCTGCAGCAGCACCCGCGCAGAGGCGCGCCGCTTCGCCCGCGGGCGGCTGAGTGCGGCGGGCGCGGGGGACCACGCTCGACCGCGTCTCGGCCTGCTCCGCTCCACTCCTCCTCCTCCTCCTCCTCTTCTCTTCCTCCTCCTCCTCCTCCTCCTCCTCCTCCTCCTCCTCCTCCTCCTCCTCCTCCTCATGCTCTTGCTCTTGCTCCTGCTCCTCCTCCTCCTTCCCCTCCTCCTCCTCCTCCTCCTCCTCCTCCTCCTCCTCCTCCTCCCGCCTCCCGCGGTCGAATAGGATGCCTCGCTGCTGTCTGTGCTCGCAGCTCCGCTCCAGAGCGGATGCGTATGACTCACGAAGGGCATGGCCGCGTCACCGCCGTCATGCTTTCTTAGGCACCAGCCCCCGCAATTCCGGTTGGCAGCGGAGTTGGGAACGATCCCAGCTCACGATCCATGGAAGACGCGCAGAGTGCGATTTGGACGCACATTCGCACTTCCCTCACCCTCCGCATTGATACCACCCTCTACTCCCTGAACAGCTTCTGTTTATGTCTGGTGTGCAAGCCTCACTGAAGTGCGCCCAAACCACCCACAAGTGCGACGATGCCAACGCCAACGACCGCAAGTGACCTTGTGAGTGTACCGTCTCTTGAGAGACAGATGGCCTTGTGCAGGAGTAAGCAGACCCAAAGAGGTAGCAACGCCTCGGCCCCCTCACCGTCACGACTTCCCTCCACTGGCAGTGGGGCGTCATCGCTCTACCGCACAACTGGGCCAGTCTTTGGTTTCGGACTGAGCCCGTCAGTGCTGGCTTACGTCTTAATGGGCACGCTCTGCACCCCGAGTGGCTCCAAGCAGGTTACGTAATCCACCTGTACTGAAGGGTTCCAATACCATTACGAGTGCTCCAAGTGCCATGATGGCGTTCGTCCCCGTGCAGGTCCGAGTCCCAAGCCGCCTGCGCGGCAATCACGGCGGTTTTCTTCGGATGATCTCCAAGTCGGCAATCTCCTCATCCTCTCCGTACTTGCCTTGCCCTGGTTCATCTGTACCTATTATGCCTGGAGGAGCCTGACAAGGCGGAGGCAGTGGCAGGGGCGGCATCACATCCCGCCAGCCACCTTCCTGGTCACCCGAACGGGAATCAGCCTACCCGTTCCGCCACTGGGTGCACGACCTACTCGCCTGGAGCGTACTCGCCACCGACATGGATAGCGCCCGATAGTGTGGTGCCATCATCCTTAACCTCGGTGGTACCGCTCGCGAGCGTAAACGTTCTATGAACTCCACGGTGATAAAGAAGGAGGACTGGCCAGAGGACAAGGGGAATGCGCCGTTACCTACGTCAGCGCGAACCTCGCGACCCAGTTTGGATCACTTGGTGAAGAGTCACCCCATACAGCATACAGGCTACCCGCGAGCTCTTGACGAGTTCACGAGGCGACGCAACGAGACCACCGATGCACAGCTCTCGCGGTTCCTCACATTGTAATTCCGAGCAACGCACAACGGTGGATCTGCGATGTGATGGGGAGGCTATAGTTTGCTGCTTCTGTGAGCGGTTGGTGCTACCGCTAGTCAACTCAGGACGCTGCTCGAGCCTTGCGGCAACCGATATCCAGAGACAGAGCTTGAGTGCAACAGTCTCTCCGGCCAGGGCCCCGGCTGGCCCCTGGCTCTTGGTTGGGCTCTCGGCCATGCGGCGGCTGGGCCAGTTGGCGTGGCGGACCTTTCTGTTTGCAGGCGAAGAGGGGCACATTTAGGACCGAGGTATCAGATCGAGGTCGACTGGAGGGTACCCTAATGTTCTTCATATTTGTGGGATGCTGCCTCACGCTGGAGCGGACTGCCTCTGCCTCTGCATCGCCGTTGACGAAAAAGGTTGTGGGATGTTCTTGTGCATCCTGGGGAGGTACCCTCGGATGTTTTGTGCGTGTTGGCCGGCGGAGGGTCTCGTGTTCTGGAAAGACATTGGTTTGGCCCAGGTCCGACTGTAGGCGAAGAGGGGTGCCGCTGCCGCTGTTGGCCCCAACCTGTCCTGACATCCAGGAGTTGCATCTCTTCACGCTTCGCGCGTCCCCACCAGTCCGTTTAGAAACGCTGACGATGAGAGCTGACGGGGAAACGGGAGGAAGAGATCCTGAAGCCATGCCCAGATATGACTAGGCGAGTTGCCTTTTTCAGGAAACTGTAGAAGCCTGCACTCCAAAAAAAAACTGCCCAGAGAGATACGAGGATGAGCAGGAGGAGGAGGAGGCGGAGGAGGAGGAGGAGGAGGAACACGATGACGAGGAGGAGATGCAACCGAAAGACGAGAACGAGGAGGAGGAGGAGGAGGACGAGGAGGGGGAAGAGGACGACGAGGACAAGGAGGAGGACGAGGAGGTTGGCCCCTTGAAAAATAGCTGCAGAAGGTCAAGGAGCTCTGGTCGAGATGCTTCACGATGTTGTATTTTTTTGCGTCGTCGGATCTCAGGGTGTCCCCCCCCCCGACGCATCAGACGTCCGAAGGATTATGCCCTTCCGACCAGGCGCCTTTCCTCAGTTTCGGACTCTGGGGGCCGTACGTAGGCCCTGGGACCATCAAAATGGATGGAGGGGCATACAGTCAACCCGCATGGTAAGGACAAACGACTTTTTCAAGGGTGCCCTTGGGTCCTTGCCTGCCTCAGCCTCTGCGGCCCGTCCCTAGCAATTTTCACAGGCCAGTTTCTCAGGTTCCCTGGGGGTTTAGCCGCCTGCCGCCCAGAATAATTTAACTTCGGCCTCCAACGGTCTTGCGTCCTTACCACGCGTCCTTACTATACGCTTTCACTGTAGAGAGCCTCGGAGGGAGGGGGACGAGGTGATGTGTTTCAATAGTTTGGGTCCTCGTCCCTTCCTCTCTGGGTGCTCAGTCTCAGAGCTGAACGGTGGTCTGATCTCAATATACATGCTCGCGCAGTCGTGCCAGCAAGATTGCCTATTCGCATGCTTCTCGGTTGAACTGACAAGTGGCTAGCGACGCCTGCAGCAACCACAGGAATGGTGCGGTCCGTAAGGGCGTGGTGCAATACGGCATTGCAGGCGAAGTTGGCCTGTGAGTTCGGCTTGTGTTATTTACGGATAAGTTTTTGCGTGCAGCCAGCGACCGCATCGGAAATGGATTGTCGCAGAAACCAACATCTTAGGATACAGCTCCTGTAGCATCGAAATCACCATCGGCGCTAGTATATCCGTGGTCGAAAATCGGCTTATTTCGGCACCATCCCGATTAACTCTGCTTCGCCCCGTCTAATCAATCTGAGTCTGGCCTGACAGACGCCTGCGGCGAACGCGAACCACCGCCGCCCCCTGCCGCTGGAAACGCTTAGTTATGTGGGCAAACTTCGTTCGGGCCGAAGTCTTGCCTAGCTATTAGGCTACGTGCTCCCCCAGCCGTTGTGGAACCCCTTGGGGGAACACTTGTGGGAGGAAACAGGAGGAGGAGGAGGAGGAGGAGGAGGAGAAGAGGGAGGAGGAAAAGGAAGCCTCTTTCGGGTCTCTTGTGTCCTCCTGGGGACCTCCTGGCGGCTTATGAGAGTCTCTTGGGGCCTCTTCGGGGCAACTTAGCTCTCTTGGGGGCCCCCCTGGGCCGTCGTGGGACCCGGCGCTTTAGGGCCGTCTTGGAATTATGTTGGGCCGTCTTGGGACCGTTTTGGGGGTCTTTTAGACCGTCTGGGGACCGTCTTGGGCCGTCTGGGGGCCCTCTTCGGGGCCCCTTGGGCCGTCATGGGGCTATCTTGAAGGCCTCTGGGCCGTCGTCGGATCTCGGAAGCCCGAAATGGCGGGAACGCGAAAATGATTGGAAATCAATGAGTTTGGCCTCGTGGAAGTCCTCTTGGAGCCTGCGTGGGACGTCTTGGAACCTCATGGGCCGACTGGAGCGCATTTGGGACCGTCTTGGCGTCACCTTGGGCCGACTTGGAGGCCATCTTAGCTCTCTTGGGGCCATCTTGGCTGTCTTTGCGGCTTCTTGGGGCCACCTTGGAGGCCATCTTGGGCATCTTGGAGGCATCCTGGAACGATCTTGGGCAGAAACGCCGACGGGATGTTAGTTGTCTATATGGCGGGTGGGTTGTGCCGGAGGTCATTTGGAACCCTTGTGAAGGTTTGAATTAGTGAAACATTTACTTAACGCGCCAGGCACCCCCGTGGCAAGCACAGGGGGCTGCGGAGCCTGTGCACACTAGGCTGATCCGGCTCAGTGGCCTTGTCATCGGGCCAGGCCTGACAGTCTTTCACGAAGACCTCCCAGAAGTTGCTTCCTGGAATCCTCCCCTGAAGTTGCTTCCTGAAGAGGCCTTTCATGAAGACCTCCCAGAAGTCCCTTGTCGAAGACCGTCATGAAGCCCTCCCAGATCGCATCGTCAACTTCAGGAGAAAACGCACAGACGCAGTGAACCGTCGACCCCCAGGAAAAGATGGGGAAACATGGGAAGGGGGGGCAAGACGAAAGCCCAGAACATGTCTGAAAATAAGGGGGATCCTGGGATGCTGGGATATGTGTGTGTATGTGTGTGTGTGACCGGGCCCCTCTACAACTAGATGCCTCCTAGATGGGGTCGAAGTAGATAGGGTCGGAGGATCGCGCCGCATCGCCGATACATCGGCGATACATGTCCGATGCATCGGCGATGCATCGGCGATGCACCAGCGATGCATCGTCGACGTCGGCGATGCATCCGCGACGTCGACGTGAAGCGAATCGGGCTACACATCGAGCCGCATCGCCGATGCATCGGCGATGCCGCGCGATCCTCCGACCCCATCTACTCCGACCCCATCCAGGAGGCATCTAGTTGTAGAGGGGCCCAGGGA